ACAGTTTGTTATCATCGCTTTAATTCCTCTCATGTTGAATTGCTTATATTCCTCTAATTATTGGTATTGATATGGTTTTGTTGTTGTTTACTATCACTTACTGTACTGTCTCCTTGTCTTGTTGTAACTCTGATTATCTGTTGTTTTATTTTATTTACATTGGTTGTGAATATTGTTTTCTAAACTGATCTAAGTCTATATTGATGCAGCAATAAACAATAGAATAAATGAACCGATGTTCTAAGGTAGCATGAACAATTTTTACTGGGGAGGGAATGAAGGCTGTAATGCATTGGTCACATTACACATATGGGTGAAGTTGCATTTGCACAAGGATCTTTTAGGGTTTTCTTTGTTTATCTGTGCAGTTCCCATGTTAGGGCTTGTAGAATTATGTATGCCCTGTGATGGAATGGTATGAAATACTGGTTATAAATGTTCCTGGCTGCAGATTGCCAAGTCCAATTTTAGTCCTACTAGTAATTATTCCTGTTACAGATTATCATGAAGCCGCTAAATTGGACTGTGTGTTTTTTTCAAATGCCAAGACAACATAAATTTACATTTATACATTTACTTTAGCTTTGCATGATTTTCTAGAACAAAAATAATGTCTATGAAAAATGATTTCATCTGGATGTAAAAGAGAGGAATGTCTGGCGATGCAGCTAATCATGCATATGCATGTTCATGGGGAATAAAAAGTGCCTTTCAGTGTGCAAAGTCATTCTGCACATGTTGCAAATGAAAAGAAAAACAGGGAAGAAAATAAACTGGCAAGAACAAGCCAAGTGTCACTTTGGAAATTAATTGAAGAAATTCTGTACGAAACATCAGAAGACAAATAGCTTAGAATGCTGGGCATAACCGTTTTATGGAAGACTTAATAAATGGGAAAGGGAAAATATGCCTCCAGCTAATTAAAAGCATGATGAAACTAATCTGTCTAGGAGGCCATTCTCAGATAGCGACTGTAGGTTTCTTCCAACAATGGTACATCTTCTTGAAAAAAAAATGTGTGTGTGTGTCTGTGTGTGTCTGTTCTCAGTACACAGAGAACATTTTATCATTCAAAGATTAAAGGCTTCCTTATTTAATTCCAATTAGGAAGCTAAAGGCTTAATTTTTACATTCTCCACTGATTGTTCGAAGCACTAACACATTATAATTTGAATGACACTAAATACAGCCTAGTGCCTCCATTCTAGCATAATGTCCTGACACCAGCAAGAACATGCTTGGCTGACATGACGTCCTTCTCCTTATCTCCTTGCCAAAAAAGAGAAGAAAGCAGAAGTTCCAATCTTTAGAAAGGATTACTAAAAATGTCTTTGGGCCTCCTGGAATGCAGAGGATGGCTCCAAAATTGAAATATGTTGTGAGAGTATTTTTCCCATCTTTTAAGTGTTGAGTAAGCTCTCTAGCACTTACTCAACCCCAGGGAAGTAGCAGCTATTATTTGCAGGGTTTCTGCACAATGTAATGATGCTTTTATTCTGATGCATTAGTTGTTGCTTTCTTCTGAAGCAAACAACAACAGCTGAAGCAAAATCGCTGCAGGAATGGTTTCTTTGAGATTATATAATCTTTTTGTTAGTGATAAAAAAAAAACAACCTCCAGCTAAATCAAATACTCCAGATATGACAGCCCCACAACAGGACAAGTAAGCTATTCAATTCAAGTTTACATGAGCGGTATTCTCAAACGGCATATTTGGGACACTGATTTTCAAATCAGCCTAAGTCTGTTTCCGAGCTTTGCAAGCATGGGGAGGCTTTTCAGCTGGAGGTATGCCAGCCGCCTTTCATCTATCAGAGTCTTGAAAAATTTCAGAAGGTTTTCATGTTCCCCAGGCTGGATGCACTTCCTTCTGCTATTTTGTTGGAGTGCAACAAAATATTCCTGTGCCTCAGTGTCATTGAGGAAGAGCTTGGTGGAATCCAGGAGGCTCATGTTCTTTGATTACTTTTTACAAGGCCTTTAGACAATGGTTATTTATCCTATCTTGAAAAAAAATCCTTGGCAGAAAGCATGACCTCTACTTGTTCCTCCACTTGTTTGACCATTACTCAGTTGTATCCTTTTGGACTGGCCAATTTGGTGCTCTGATATGGAGTATCCATTTCTCCTTGTGCTTAGAAATTTTATATTAATTTTCCTTCTTTTTAAACCTATACATCTGCATTTTTTAGTCCCTTCTGATGGCTGGCCTTATGACCACAATAAAGATTTGATTTGATTATTATACAGGAAGAATTTACTTTTTTATTTCTTCATTCATACCCCAACAGTATAGCAATACTAGCAGCTATTGTAATATCCATTCTCCAAAGGTCCACACAAATGAGTGTATCAATAGAAGAGAATATTTGTCGCTCAGAGTTGAATTGTGGGTCCTTTGTGCATTCTAAGCTTAGTTTGGTTTCTTGCAGATGTTTCATTACCAAACTAGGCAACATCATCAGTGCTAGATGTCAGTGGGGTTTGTATCAGGGGTGGGTTCTACTCAGTGGTGGGATTCAAGTAATTTAACAACTGGTTCTCTGCCCTAATGATTTCTTCCAACAACCAGTTTGCCAAACTGCTCGGAAAGTTAACAACCGGTTCTCCCGAAGTAGTGCGAACGGGCTGAATCCCACTACTGGTTCTACTTACCTTTACCACCGGTTTGCAATGGGATCATGCTTCTACGCATGCACAGAAGCTTCTGCGCATGGCCGGATCACTGATGCTGACATCTAGGGCAGTGGGTGGGGCCTCCCGCCGGTTTTACTGTCGGTTCTTGCGAACCAGTCCAAACCGGGGGCAACCCACCACTGGTTTGTATCCATTCCGAGCATAACAGTGTCAATAGACATTGGTAGCAATTGGAGATTGAAAATACCATTCAGTAAAGCTCCATATGACAGATAATCTGGCAACTCCTTCTTTCTTTGTTGGATTGCAGCCATATAAAGTTGCAAGGAAAGAGACTTTTGAAGTTGTAGACCAGCTGGGTGGAAGCTGTAATGTTTAAGTTCCATATGTCAAACAAGATCTTTGATGCCTGCTTAGAGCTGAAGTTTTCAGGATATTGTATGCTCCTCCAATGATCAGCTATGCAAGCAAAGCTAGATATATCCAGAATGCAACAGGAACAAGAATCTATTACATGCAGCCATGCAACTTTCTATTCAAGTAAGTTACAGGTATATTGTAACTGCTTTTTTTTTAGCCCAAATTAGCACACCACCTGTTGGATACTGAATGCAGCAAAAAAGAAAAAACAACATACTTCACCCATAATTAAGATTCCTCTGTAACCTTTTTTTTCTTGAATCTGAAAAAAAGTAACATACGCTGTGCTAAGAGACAAATATTATCTATTAGATATAACTCAGTGACAGTAATTATAGCTACAGCATTTATTAACTACATAGTTTGGAACAGCAGCATTTTTAGCTTTTGAGATGCCCAAAATATTAGAACAGCTGGTTAAATCTAAACTAAGATTATTCTATTAGTTTCTATAGATATTTGTTATGAATAAATCGATTTGGTATGCAGATGTTAAGATTCCTATATTACCAAGCAATGGAAAAGTACCTTAACTCTTATATCTAGAGTGTCAATGGACCTTAAAATACAAACTGTACAAAAAATAATATTTAGAATGTATTGGACTTCATTCTATCTGCATAGAAAAGGATTGTCTAGGATAGCATTTTGCTGGAGATATAATAAGGACAATGCTTTTTTGAAACACATGCTTTTACAATGTCCTATACTTACTGACTTTTAGAGGAAAGTAGTAGACTCTATAAATTTTCGTTATATACTATAAGGGCTCAATCAATGGATTAAAATGCCAAATCCAATCTAAATATCTGATTGATTGTATAATCAAGCATAATAATTCTTATTATTATAATGAAGAATAACGTAACTATCAAATGTCCTCTGGTAATGTTCCACTTTTCATGCCATCTGGAATACTACCAAAGAAGGGACAATATAATGTATAAAGGAAAGCTGTTCCATACGATCAGGGCCATAAGCAAGATATAATGTCTCAGAAGTGGGGAATAACCAACCTGAATTATCCAGGGCCAATCTTAAGGGTCATCTGGCTGGAAGAGGCAGTCCAAAAGCAATTTTCCCTTTTCCTACTAACCCTAGTAACCTACTACTAACCTATCTACTAACCCTAGTTCAGGAGTATATGAGATGGTTCAGCTTACCTGAAGGACAACAGGTTGGGGAAAGCTAACCTGAGAAATATGGAAGGAAATATTGGCACTGTTACCCTTTTGCTTCCCCCCACCCCCACATTAGACAGAATACCTTTCGGAAAAATCATGTTATTTTCCCATAGAAGTCAACCAGAATATTTTTTACTTGTATACTCTTATAGTGTGCCATAGTCTCCTAGAGTAACAAAAGGGAAAAAGGCATTTATTACCAATTGTTTGCTTAGATTCCTGTGCTTTTAGGCATGCTGGCTGGGGAATTCTGGGAGTCCAAGTCCACATATCTTAAAATTATCAAGTTTGAAAAACACCAGGATATAGGAACTAGAACTGTGGGCTGCCGAGTTTTATAACTGATGTGCAGAAAAGTTACTTTTGGTGCAAGTAGAGGAACTGCTTTCTAAAAATTCTGCCCTCAACTTTTCTTCCTATTATTACTATCAGTTTTCTTCCAGATGAGTTTACATTCTTTGATTGCCCTTTAAGTCTAGCAAAATGGAAGGGAATCATTGCTGTGTCACATAAAGCAAATCATTGTGAACAATATTTTTTCTGTTTCCTTCTCTGTCCCTCTCCCATGGGGGGGGGGAGGAATTCACAGAAGCCTTCAGGAGATTGAATTTGAGGCTAATTCCACTGTCATCTTTGCACCTCAGAACAAACAACCTGCCATTGGCATTAACAGTCTGATCAGATCTGATGTTGCAGAGGTGCAAGTCCAGAGACATGCTTTACACGGGGAACAGAAGAGTCATTGTACTCACCCATCTTGAAAGGCATCTGTTTTCAAAGTGACTTAAGTTTGGGTTGCTGCAGGGTAGAAACAGGGCTTGTGTTTCACCTCTTTGTGTATTTGTTTTTCCTTTTCGGTGTCTTTTTTAAAAAATCTAACAAAGAATGAAAGTGAAAGGCATTTTCAAGCTTCCCACACAAAGTTATGTATAAAAATAACAAAGGCAGGATTTTTTGAAAAATCTTTAAAAATATTGCCTGTAGACCACTATAATCTATGCCTTCAACCACCTGAGATCATAAAAGTCAAATCCACTTAAATCAAATCATAGCAACATTAGATACTTGGAATTATATATCACATTTGAGATTACTGGGTTCTCGTCTTATTATTCTAGCTTCTTTCTCTTACTGCTGCAGGATCTAGGTAGACCTGAAGAAGAAGGTCAAACCCTGCCCTTTTGGATATCCTATTGTTTGCTTCTGTCAAAAACTTGGGTGAATGTGATGACCAGAGAAGTTGACACAACCTCTGCTAAATGTTTTCTATTATAGTGCCAAGTTCTAAATATCCTACTGGAGGATGATGAAATAAATTAGGAAATTATCGGAATACAAGGGAGATCATACAGATCTCTTACTGGCTCATTGTGACATATTTGTGAGATACTTCATGGATAAAAAAATAATTGTTCTTATCAATACCTAAGATTTGGCATTTTGATCTGTAAAGATTCAGGGCCCCTTCTGGTCAGTTTTAGAAAGGATGTAGACAAGATGCTTAGTAGAGATGCTGATAGGTTCCAGAGGGAGCTTGGGCCAATTCCTGAAACTCTGGCTCATGACTCGGCTGAAGATCTGGTGGCTGCCTGGGATAGGACGGCCGCCAGTGCTCTGGACCGAGTCGTGTCTTTGCGGCCTCTGACCCGACGCCGAACCTGCCCGGCCCCTTGGTTTTCCAAGGAGCTGAGGGAGATGAAGCGCCGGAAAAGATGCCTAGAGAGCGGTTGGAGGGCTAGTCGCTCCGAATCCGACCGAACACTAGTTAGGTCTCATATTAAGACCTATCTAGTGGCAATAAAAGCGGCAAAGCGTAACCACTTTTCCTCTCTTATTGCATCGGCAGATAACCGCCAAGCTGCCTTGTTTAGGGTGACTCACTCCCTCCTACATCAGGGAGCGCGGGAAGACCCCTTGCAAGGGCAGGCTGAGGATTTTGCACAGTATCTGCACGATAAAATCGCTCAGATTCGGGAAGGCTTGGACTCTGACTGGGTAGATCCTGGCAGGGTGACTGAGGCTGGTCTTGAGAATGTTACCTGGGATGAGTTCGACCCTGTGACTCCTGAGGACGTGGACAGGATCCTGGGGAGGTTAAACGCAACCACATGTTTATTGGACCCATGCCCCTCCTGGCTGGTACTGGCCACTCGGAAGGTAACACGAGGCTGGCTCCAGAGGATTATAAATGCTTCTCTGAGAGAGGGTTTCTTCCCTCCCGCCTTGAAAGAGGCGGTGGTGAGGCCCCTCCTCAAGAAGCCTTCTCTGGACCCGGCCGTTTTGGCAAACTACCGTCCGGTCTCCAACCTTCGCTTTGTTGCGAAGGTTGTGGAGAGTGTGGTTGCGCGACAGCTCCCACAGTACCTGGATGAAACCATCTATCTAGATCCATGCCAGTCCGGCTTCAGGCCTGGGTACAGCACGGAGACGGCATTGGTCTCATTGGTGGATGATCTCTGGAGGGCTCAGGACAGGGGTTGTTGCTCTGTTCTTGTCCTGTTAGACCTCTCAGCGGCTTTTGATACCATCAACCATGGTATCATGCTGCGCCGGCTGGAGGGATTGGGGGTGGGAGGCACCGTGTTGCAGTGGTTCTCCTCCTATCTCTTTGACTGGTCGCAGTCTGTGTTGGCAGGGGGGCAGAGGTCGACCTCGAGGCGCCTTGCTTGCGGGGTGCCGCAGGGGTCTGTCCTCTCACCGCTCCTGTTCAACATTTATGTGAAGCCGCTGGGTGAGATCGTCCGTGGTTTTGGGGTGCGATACCATCTGTACGCTGATGACACTCAACTGTACATCTCCATCCCAGACCACCCCAATGATGCCCTCAAAGTGATGTCCCAGTGTCTGGAGGCCGTGCGGGTGTGGATGGGGAGGAACAGGCTTCGGCTCAACCCTTCCAAGACCGAGTGGCTGTGGATGCCGGCGTCCCGGTATAGCCAGCTGGTGCCATCGCTGGCTATTGGGGGCGAGTCACTGACCCCCACAGAGGGGGCTCGCAACTTGGGCGTCCTCCTGGACACACGGCTGTCTTTAGAAGAGCATATGACGGCCGTGGCCAGGGGGGCTTTTTATCAGGTTCGCCTGATACGCCAGTTGCGCCCCTTTCTGGATCGGGACTCCTTGTGCACAGTCACTCATGCCTTGGTCACGTCACGCCTGGACTACTGCAATGCTCTCTACATGGGGCTCCCCCTGAGGAGCACCCGGAGGCTCCAGCTGGTGCAGAATGCGGCCGCGCGGGTGATAATGGGAGCGACGTGGCGCTCCCACGTAAAACCTCTCCTGCGCGAGCTGCATTGGCTCCCGGTGGTCTTCTGGGTGCACTTTAAGGTGTTGGTTCTCATCTTTAAAGCGCTCCATGGCTTAGGGCCAGGGTATTTGCGAGACCACCTGCTGCTACCGATAACCTCTCACCGGCTAATACGCTCTCACAGAGAGGGCCTCCTCAGGGTGCCGTCGGTCAGGCAATGTTGGCTGGCGGCCCCCAGGGGGAGAGCCTTCTCTGTGGGGGCACCCGCCCTGTGGAATGAGCTGCCTCCTGGAATACGATTGATCCCGGACCTCCGGACCTTCCGTAAAGCCCTGAAGATGTTTTTATTCCATCAAGCCGGCCTAGCCTAAATGGTTTTTAATTGGGATTTTAAATTTTATGGATTTGGGGGTTTTAAATTGGGAAGCTAGTGATTTAATTCTTTTTAATTATCTTAACTTTTGTATTTGTATGTTTTTTAATTTTGGCTGTTCACCGCCCTGAGTCCCTTCTGGGAGAAGGGCGGTATACAAATTAAATTAATAAATAAAAAATAAATAAAAAATAGAGTTCAGGAATAGATTTTCTGTCTTAAATTTACAGTTGATATGAAACAGTTTTCAAGATCCATTTAATTGGGGTATGGACCTTTTGGTAGAAAATGTTTTGATCACTCTGTTGTAATTTTTCCTGGGGCAGAAAAGGGGAGTGTGACCCCACTGAATACTATCAGCCATGATATTCTTCTGGAGAGATTCTCTAAATTCAGAGTGGGTAGAACAGCATTCACCAGAAGATGGTGCTGGAGGACCTCTGTTCAATTCTACAGAGATGACCCAAATGCACTTTTGCTGCTTTTAAATCCATCTCTATCACAAGAGGCAGAAATGTTCTCTGTGCAAGAAGGTGCCTTTTACCAATTTAGGCTGGCATGTCAGCATTAATACTACTTGGATAGAGCTAACTCTCTAACGTCATGTTTAAATTACTTCAAGCCTTTAACATAACCTTGAGCTGCCCTTGAAGATAATCTGGAAATTGCAGTTAGTATAAAATATTGCAGCAAAACTCCTGACTGGAGTTGGGCATTATGACTGCATTATATGACCAACATTTTACACAGACCATTTTTGTCATCTTTGGTGGGTCCCAGTTCACTTCCAGGCTCAATTCCAGAAGCTGTGAAGCTTCCTTGACTGGGATCTCAGTGTCTGTATTAATGCTTCCTCCCATTTACCTAGTACAAGTAGGTGGTCTAAGGTCCTCTTGAGACACACTCTGGGTGTCTTCCCATATTAAAGATGGCTACTTTGGTACCATCCAGTCTGCAAGACTGAAAAAGAAGCTATACCCTTAATAAATATCCCATTGCACTTGGAAACATATAGTAGTACAGGATCCAAACTGAGTTGGTCACTGGGACCAGCTTGGAAGACTAAATTTCTGGCCCTGGTGACCGACCCAGATTGGATCCTGCAACATTATCCTGGGACTCATATTTTTGGCTTCATTTGTGACCTGTAATCGTGACATTTCTTCCAGGTATAGAGTAGAAAACACTGGCTTGGTGGGAAATGAGTTGAAACATCTAGGAATGTCTTCAGTCACAGCTATCTGTTGTTTTGCCAGGAAATAGACACACAGATACAGGAAAATAAGTATTCAAGAGACCAGTGCCTGAGAAAGTCAGAGCCTATTTCCCTTTAAGAAAGTTGAAGAACAGATAAAGTTGAGCTTGAAAAAGCCCCCTAATGGAAATGGTACATAAAACTGAACAAAATGAAAAAAACCTGTGAAGATACTCCTCTTGACTGACTTCAGGTCAATACCTGAAAAAAATTGAAGACAAGGTGAACAGTGTCAAAACTTCACAATATCTTCAGATTGAATCCATCAGGAAAGAACAAAGGGGTTAAGATTAGCAGCACAAGAACAAGAACTAGGAACAAATGCCACAATAATTATTTTTGGAAAAAAAACATAGTGGAACTAATTGTAGATTATGTAAACAGAAAGACAAGAGTGTGGCAGAATTGCCTAGACAGATTGAAGACAAAAACAATACATTGAAAGTTATGTAAAATGTATGGATTTGATGCGCCCAATATTGATATGACTATAATACTGATAATGCTCCAGGATGACCATAAAAATGCTGTGGGATTTCTGAATTCAGAAAGACCAAAATTTAGAGCAAATGCATTGGATATAACATTAGTCTTTTAAAAAGCAAGTTTACTTACAGAAGTGCAGGATCAAATGATGGCAGAGTACTCCAGATGTATCTGGAAAAGATTGTAAAATATCAGGATTTAGCATCTGAAATGCAGATATTATGGAACAAGCCAGCAAACCATTTACCTGCCTACTGGGAAGGAAGGGAAAGGAAGGGAGAAAGATTTATGATGCTCCCTGACAGCTTCCTTTTCTCCAAGGAAACTCAATGGACAAGCCAGTAGGAAGTCAAAACTTGCTCCCATTCTCACTGGGGTTTTTTGGTTTTTGGTTTGTTTTTTGCCTACCCATGGTCTTTCTGTTTCTTTGTTTAGGTAAGGAAATATCTCTGAAATGATGACCCAATGGAGACACATTTCTAGTGTATTAAGAAAAGCTAGATTTAAAACTGGAGGAAGAAATATCAATAATTTGTATTATGCTGATTACACTACCCTGATAGCTGAAAATACAATAGATCTGCAAGCTCTAATGATAAAAGTCAACGAACACAGTGGAAAAAAATGGGACTAACATTAATTGTAAATAAGTCCAAACTAGTTACAACAGGTAGAACAACCAGTCTTAGAGTTGGCAATAATATTTGAAGGTATCAAAATGGTAGATAGTTTCTGCTTTTTAGGTCAAATATCAACAGTAAAGGAACAAGTGGTCAAGAAATTAGCTTCAAACTAGCACTTGATAGAGCATTCATGAAGCCCTTGGGAAATATAGTTAAATCCTGTGAAGTGTCTATACCCATTTATTTTCTTATTATTTTATATTTTATTTTATTTTATTTTATTTTATTTTATTTTATTTTATTTTATTTTATTTTATTTTATTATTTTTATACCGCCCTACTCCCGAAGGTCTCAGGGCGGTGAACAGCCACAAGATAAAAAATACATCATACAAAAGTTAAAAACCAATTTAAAAGTACATTAAATAATTTTGGCCCAAAAACGAATTTAAAAATTCGTTTTATAAATTTTATAAAACTTAAAAGCAAATTAAAAGGGAGAGTCAAGCCAGACCAGCCTGCTGGAATAAAAATGTTTTGAGGGCGCAGCAGAAAGTGCGTAAATCTGGGATCCTCTGTATCTCCGGGGGGAGCTCATTCCAGATGACAGGTGCCCCCACAGAGAAGGCTCTCCCCCTGGGGGCCACCAGTCGACACTGTTTGGCCGACGGCACCCTCAGGAGCCCCTCTCTATGGGAACGTACTGGTTGGTGAGAGGCTACTGGTGGCAGAAGGCGGTCTCGTAAGTATCCTGGTCCTAAGCCATGGAGCGCTCTAAAGGTGGTGACCAAAACCTTGAAGTGCACCCGGAAGACCACCGGGAGCCAGTGCAGCTCATGCAGGAGGGGAGTCACATGGGACCGATGTAACCACCCGCGCAGCTGCATTCTGGACCAGCTGGAGCCTCCGGGTGCTCCTCAAGGGGAGCCCCATGTAGAGAGCATTACAGTAGTCCAGGCATGAGGTGACGAGGGCATGAGTGACTGTATGTAACGAGTCCCGATCCAAAAAGGGACGCAACTGGTGAATCAGGCGGACCTGATAAAAAGTCCTCCCGGCCACAGCTGTCAAATGCTCTTCTAAAGACAGCCGTGAGTCCAGGAGGACACCCATGTTGCGAGCCCTATCCGTGGGGGCCAATGACTCGCCCCCACTAGTCAGTTATGGCACCAACTGACTATATCAGGATGTCGGAAACCACAGCCACTCGATCTTGGATGGGTTGAGTCTGAGTCTGTTTCTCCCCATCCAGATCCGCATGACCTCCAGGCACCGGAACATCACTTCAAGGGCATTATTGGGGTGATCCGGGGTGGAAATGTATAGCTGAGTATCATCAGCATACTGGTGATACTTCACCCCGAAACCACGGATGATCTCGCCCAGCAGCTTCACATAAATGTTGAACAGAAGGGGCAAGAGGACCGATCCTTGTGGCACCCCACATGCAAGGGGCCTCGGGGTCAACCTCTGCCCCCCTGTCAACACAGACTGCAACTGGTTGGAGAGAAAGGAGGAGAACCACCACAACACGGTGCCTCCCACCCCCAACCCTTCCAGCCAGTGCAGCATGATACCATGGTCGATGATATCAAAAGCCGCTGAGAGGTCTAACAGGACCAGAACCGAGTAGCAACCCCTGTCCCGAGCCCTCCAGAGATCATCAACCAATGCGACCAATACCCATAAAGATCAGAATCATGAAAACCATGGTGTTCGGTATGACACCCTATGGAAGTGAAAGTTTGATTTTGAAAGCGCAGGATAGGAAGAGTATCAACACTTTTGAATGTTGGCGTTGGAGACAACTCTTGAGAATACCATGGACAGCCAAGAAAGGCCTAATGCTTGGAAAAGTGGAGGAAAGATTAGAAGAGGATGACTAGCAACAAGGTGGAGAGGCTCAGCTACAGTGCTGGTGTGAACACTACTGGAACATCCAAAAGACCAGGTTAGAGATAGATTGACTTGAAGGAACTATCACTTTTACCTTGCTATGAACTTAATTTGTCTAGCTGTTGCTTTATTCCCATTCTATTGTTGGAATGCAGAGAATAATAATGGTATATTTACCATTAAGACTGATTGAGGCTCAGCTAAGCAAGTGGCAGGATCAGCAAAATCAATCCTTATCAGGGATTTCAACATAAATATTATCTTTCCCTAGTTTGTTTCTCCATTGGTCACTTCATTTTGTATCCTTATGACTCCAGTTTGTCAAATAACTCAAAACTTAAAAGTAATCTAGTGGCAAATCTTAGAGCTGACTGAAAATATTTTATAAATTTGTTTAGATAGGCAAAGGGCTAGTTAAATCTGAGAATTTTGTCCTCAATGGGAAAGGAAGGATAGAGCACTTTTAACAGATTCCCAGCTGAAAGACTATACATCAAGATGCTCTGCAATGAAGCACCATAAATCTTTATGAAATAACAGTTTGAAATAAAATAACATTGTTTATCTGCTGCTCCACTGGTTTTGCCTGTATGATAATGTCTCATACGTTATAAAAAGTACTGTGTGATTGGATGAATAATGTATTTTTAAAATCCTGAATCTTGACAAAGTACTTAACTATGTAAGTAGCTGTGCTCAACAGGCTCTGTGTAATGTATGCTGTTGGGTACCAGCTATCTATCTTGTCTGCAAATAAATACAGTAATACTTTAACCCAGGTTGCAGGATGCAATTTCACAGCCCCTGTCACCTTAGAAACAAAATAGCTTACTAAACGAAAACGCAAGTATTCAAGGGGAATAAAAATATAGTGGAATAGAAGTTTACACTGGAATAGCAAATTCCACTTAATCCATATCCAGTTTTATTTAAGAAATCTGTCTTGTGAGAGGAAAGTAACACAATTGGATGCCATAGCCTTTTTATTCGGTAAATGTGGCTCTCTTAATGACCCCACAGATACCACAAGTTAAAAATAGGCATGCTGGCATCCCATCACTCTCTATGAAAGAGCTTAGTTCTTTCACTAAAGTCCATGAAATCTGGAACTTCTGAACTCAGACTGGAATTGAGGGAAGCTTTGGTTTCATTTAGGAAGGAAGCCGTATCCCCCATTTAACCAATATTTCTCCTGGTTGCTGTTCTATGACACAGGATCAGTGGTGGGTTCCTCCCAGTTCCACCTGGTTCCGGTGAGCCAGTAGCGGTGACGATATGACATCACCGAACCGGTTCTGCCCCCTGCCCCACCCCCGTCTCCCCACGTTATTCTTACCTTTTATTTGGCCCCACCCCCAATCTATTGCTGCCTCCTGAGTCCCAGCTGATCTGCTAGAAGAAAAAAAGCTGTTTAAACTCTTGCCATGGAGCTTCAAAGGGCCGCCCTACAGCTGATCAGTGTTAAAAGGCAGTGTGCTGGTAGACCGGTGCCTCCAAAAACAAATGAATAGACTGGTGCCTGCAAAAATAAATGGGTAGACCAGTACCTGCAAAAATAAATGAGTAGACCAGTGCCTGCAAAAATAAATGGGTAGATAGGTGCCTCCAAAAACAAATGAGTAGACCGGTACAGCTGTTAAAAGTCTGGTAGATCGTAACCTCTGCTAAATCCTAAAGAATTGTCACATGACCATCAAGCCGCGCCCACAAAATAAGCCAAACCCACAGAACCGGTAGTAAAAATTTTAGAACCCACCCCTGCACAGGATGCATCAATTTCTAGGCTCTATTCAAACATCCCAATGCACGTTTTTTCTAGGCATTCAACATTTAATTACAAGTCAACATATATTTGAGGCTTCAAAGGATTAACACAGGAAGATTTATAAAAGATTAAAAGGTTTTTTTCGGTCTTTAAAAGAGATTATTTAGATCATTCAAGGGCCCAATCAGGCTTATAAGTACAGATCTAACAAAGCCATAGAAAGTATGTTATCTCTAGGGTTGCTTTTCCCCTCTTGCTCTTCAAGATAAGTGTTTTTCTCTTATTTTTACTAAACTTTTTACTAAATCCTTACAAAAATCTGATTCTTCAAAATTGCTTATTATTTTGTAGGGAGTTTCTTTTCCAGGATTCCCAGTGAACATGAGTTCAGGAAAAAATGCTAGTTGTATCAGTGTTTAGTTTAGTTTAGTTTAGTTTAGTTTAGTTTAGTTTAGTTTAGTTTAGTTTAGTTTAGTTTAGTTTAGTTTAGTTTATTGTCATTGCACCTCGTACAACGAAATTAAATGCCATCTTCAGTGTACATTATAACTATAAAAATAAAATACAAACACACATCCTTCACATTCTATACAATTGAATTGAAAACCCGATATTGCATTAATATTGCACTATACAGTAGAATTCAATATAGTTCCCTGGGATAGAAGCTGTTTTTCAGCCTATTTGTCCTTGTTTTTATTACCCTGTACCGTCTGCCAGATGGTAAAAGTTCAAAAAAAGGGTGCCCAGGATGAGATGGATCTTTAAGAATGTTTTGAACTTTCTTAAGGCAGCGGGAGCTATAAAGCTCTTCCAAAGAGGGGAGAGGGCAACCAATGTTCCTCTGGGCAATGACATT